AAGAAAAACATTGACATTTTCTCAAAGTTAAACATTTGTTTAAAAATTTTATACATTATATTAAGTAGACTATTAATTGCTATAAATGGCAGAAGCGTTATTTTTGAGTTAATAATTGTTTAAATTTTTAAATGTCAAAATCGAGTAAAATTTTTATTAAATCTCACTCTATTTAAAATATGAATTTTATCTGGTTTATCACCCTGAAATATTATATACACAATTCAATAACATCAATGTCCAATATGTAAACATTCTCCTTCGTAAATTCAAAATACTTGGCCCTCGATGTCCTGATTTATAAAGTAGAATGTAATCAGCATATCACATTGACATTATCTTTTATGTAGATGTATTGAAATTCGGCTATTTGTCAGTTAAATAGATGAAAGGCCAGAGACATCTGACATTAATAAGACGTATGAGGTCATATATGTGTTTATAGCAAAAATTGCTGAACTGCAAATTAACTTCTTCTTTTATCTGTCTTCTCAGAAAATTGAGAGAAAACATGTTAAAGTGTTTTTTGAAAACAACGCGAAAACTTTATATGAAAGCCAACAATTTGTAAAAAATATTCAGCGTACAAGTTAACTTGGTAAATTTAATGACAATTTAAATATCGGTAGAAATACTGAACGTGCTAATTTTACGAATTAGCAAATTAATTAATTTATGGTGTTGTAAAATAACGGTAATGCGTAATTTTTTTATTTGAGAATGTTAAAAATATATTTAAATTTTTTATTTCTAATGTTTGAATAATTCAAAAGCCGAAAGCACTAGTGGTTATAAGAGTACACAGACAGGGTATCGAGACAATAGTACCCATAGAATAGAGTTAAAAAGATTAAAATTGCTGTATAGTAGTTACAGGTTAAAGGTGAAAGAAATGGGGGAACAGTGGGAATCATTAGTTACACATCTAAATGAAAACCATACTCTATAATTCGTTTTCAATGTAAACTATACAGTTGTTGCGTAACTACAACATACATCTGTTTATATATTTCAATAGTAATAATTTAATCATTTTAAAACAGAGTAATTTCGAATTCCAAGTCTTGTTTCAATGATTCCAAGTAAGCTTCTGGATTATTAGAATGACGATTAAATTTTTCTTCTAATTTCTCTATAAATTTGTTCATTTTTTCTTCTTGTGGATCTTCGATAACGTTTGTAAATCTGTCTTCTTTAGAACTTCTCTTTCTTTCTTCGTCATACATTTTCAGGTATTCTTAGTTTTTTTGGAAGAATTCTTCATTAGCTCTAATCATATTATTAAATTTAGTCGGATCGAACTCTGGCAAAGTTCCTCTGTATTCCAAGAAAAGACAATCAGGGTTGATGAATTCGTGCAAAGTCTTCAGATCAGAATGAAAATGTAGCTGTAATTTAAATTTAAATCCTCAATATATAGAGTATAAAAAAGTAAAAAAAAACAACTTAAAGTTTCAAATCTACATTGAAAACTAATTAGAATTTATCAAAAGAAGGAAAAAGTTTATTCGATTTTAATGTTGAGACATACAGCATATCTAACAACAAAATATGACAAAGAAAAATATCAAAGTAGAAATATAAAAATTATGAAATGCACTATGCATATGCATTGATAAAAATATTGTAATTATTATCACTGTCGGGAATAAAAATCGTCTAGCGCGCGGTTTTCCCGCCTTTTCGTGAACGAACGTTATCGCCATGGAAACGGCGATAACGACATTTTGAAAACTCGACCGCTGATTGGTTAAGAAACATCGGACGATCGGCGGACGTCTTATACAGCTGGTAGATGCTGATTGGTGGAGTTCAATGTAGCTTCAATCCTATAAAAGCAGTGAAGTTCTGGCGGGAAGTTTAGTTCGCTTTGGACTCGTAGAATGAACTCACGTTGACCTTAGTTGCCGGAGCTGTCTTAGAAGATCGTCTCATCTTGTTGTGTTGTTGTAGACTTTGAATTTGT